AAAATACACAATACGTTTTTCACATTTTTACCTTTATAAGGAAGGGTGGGGGGGAACCAACAACCCAACACTTAAAACATTCGTAACATATCCAGCAAGGCCAGAAATGGCCTTACGTAGCTTGTGACTTATTTCTGATTATTTTTAATTCACTTCTTTACCGTAGTTTAATAATTGAGAAAGTAATCTTCATTTTTTTCTTCTTCTCTGGCAGCTATCCCTACCCGTCAACTAATTAGATAAAAAGCCCCTATCAAATATCCAAATTAACTAATCTACAGTCTTCCTTTATACGCATTTATTTACTATATTCTTAGAGGAATATACAATGAGAAATTCAACATTGCTGATTGTGGAGTTTCTTATCACAAAAAAGAAAATAAAGACTTCAACCACCAAACCAGGTTATCGACCAGTTAGTTAGCTACTATATATCTTCATGTGAATCTAGAATATGCAAAAAGGGATCCATAAAATGTATTCTCTATGCTCTTTGTTCATATGATAAGAACTCCTAAAATTATACTTATTCAATGGCTAAATTTTCCTCTCAGATGACCAACTTTATGTTGGACAAATGGATATTAAATAAATTAATAGTCAGTTGAACACAATGGGAATTTTCTTTCTCACAAACAGAAAACATGTAAATCAGCCCTAAAATTTAAGCAAACAAGTGTTCTGTATCTACTTTAATAAAACAATAATTCTTGTAGCCAGTGGTCAAAAACAAATGGAAAAGTGAAAGCACTGTTGGTGTCAGATATCAAAATATCTAATAGGTCAAGGAGGGAAAAAAAGCTCAGAGATCCATGATAAACCCTTCTAAAGTAGAATAGATGGTACACATAAGGCTTTGGGAATCAAACATAGTTTGTAGTTATTTGTTCTTCTTTTTCCTAAACATTTTTTTAGAAAGAGATTTTTTAAATAGCAATCAAAAGTAAGGAACAAAGAAAAATTTTTTCAATGGATCATAATCCTGACCCTCTCTCTGGTTCTAATATTTCACATGGGGAATTACAAAGTAGCATAAAGAAATGAGACATTAAAAATGTGTTTTCAATAGGCTTTGTATTTTTGAGGAACAGAACCCAGAGCTAAGCAGCAATCTTGAACTTCTGAATAGGAATACTTACCTACTGGTAGGTAAATTGTACTGTCCCAGCTCTAATGCATTTTATCTGGAGGAAATACAGGCTTAGTAGTAAGGTTTCACACTGGCAACAAAAAAAGTATGCAGGTTAGATCTACCAGCTACTCTGGGAGAGAAAGATAGACCCCTCACTTGTGATTTATGGCTTCTGAAAACCTATTGTAGGGCCAGCAGTGTGTGGGTTCTGACTTGACAGTACACAACAACCACACTTCCACCTTTAAAATTATGGGCAAATAAATACCCTCAGAAGCAGCCTTCAAACAATGGCCAGGGGAATTTGATTATAAATGTGTCAGCTACTTCTTGGAATATTCTGTTTCTTAAATGTTGAGTCCCACTGAACTAGTCTCATTTATACAAAATGCTTCTCAGTCTTTTAAAAAAAAAACCTATCCAGTATCCTTTAAAATTGTTACTGTTATTTTGTCCTTACTAACACTCCCATTTACTTTTATAATATAGATAGATTTATAACCTTTTATATCTTGTCACTGTTAGCAGGGGCAGCCACATACTATTACAATATTGACGTTGAGTTCGTTTTTGAGTTGTTGTTTTGGTGTTTTTTTTTCTCTGATAATCTTGTGTGAGGGCTATGTTATTTCCATTGTAATGCATGTTCTACAGTAACAGCTTCAAATTGTCACACTTTACTAAATTTTACTTCTCCTCTGTCTCATTACCTGCATCTGAGTCTTATTCCTGGATTCTGATTTAGAGACCTAAATGGAGACAGAGTTGCAATTAACTCTGGTGAATCAGCTCTTGTGTCGTGATGACCCTTTGATTTAAAGAGCAGAACTGCTCCATAGGTTTTTTTAACTTATCTGCACCTCTAGGTTTTGTATCAACTACTAAGATAATTGTTGAAAATTGTACCATATACATTTATAATCAAGTCATTATTTTTACCCTGTTTTAGGAATTTTTTATGAGAGATTGTTAGTGATGTTAATCTCATCATTTGAAAGTGATAAACTGCCTAATAAATACCTGTTGAGAAAATCAATAAACATGCATACTCTACACACATTATCACACATACAAATTTGTATGCGTTTTAAATTATATACCCAAACATACAACCATAAAGAATAATATATGAATAAAAGAGAAGATGAAATATCTACAGGACCAATCAAAGAGTTTTCCTAAGAATGACCATAGAAAGATGAGACATGCTTATTTGAGATTGGCAATAGTTGAGTTAGAGTGTGAGTGTATGGAGGAGGGCAGGGAAATGGGGTCTACTTTTGTGCTCAAGAAGTACTAAAGATTATCAGTTGGACAAGTACGTCACTTTTCATATAAAAAGATTCCATTGTGTCAAAGAAAGCAAGGCACTGATCTTATAAAGTACTTCAAATGACTCTCCTATTGATGGCATTGGCCCATCTTGACTTCTAGATGCAGAGATTTTGAAAGTCAAAGATTAGGATTCCTGGTAACTCCAGCTTACAAGATACAGAAAGAGTGAAGGAGGAGGGAAAGAAAGAGACCTCTGAAGAGCTGGGAGTCTGGCAGGATTGTTGTTTGAAGGTGAAGTCAATCTGAGAGTCTATTAGCATGAAGATTTAGGGATACCTTGCATGTAGAACTTGATCTCTTGCTCCTTGACAACCTAGAGAAAGATTTCTCTACTAAGGGTTTATTTAAGGTACATAAAAAAGAAGTTAAAAGAAAGAACATCGTTCTTTAGATGTTCCTGAGGAAGTACAGATCTCTTAAGGCTTTTTCTGCTCTCACCTGGTGGGCTGAACTCAGATATCCACAGAGCAGTGGAGTAGTGACAGAGATCAAGGTTTAGTGCAGGGTGGTAAGGTCTTAGCAGCCTGAAAATACAAATTGTACTAGTTCATTCTGAATATATTCTTATCCAAAGGCACACATGTCAAATGTTTCTTCATCCTAAACTTATACCATTCATTTATCTCAGGACACAAAGTCTCCAAGGGCCTGAACAATAGTTTTCCTGAGAGAAACTTATTAAAAATGAGGTTCTATGAACTGATAAAAACAGGGAATCCCCATGGTTCTCAGTTTTGTAAAATATCCTTAAGATTTGTATAACTGTAAATACAGGCTGAAACATCTGTATTACCCCTGATTCCATCTTGATTAAAAATATTTTTAAAAAAAAGAAAAGAGAAAACTATAAATATACAGTCAAAATATATAACAATCTAATATTACCAAGACAATGTTTTCACGTAATCAGTATTGATTCTTTCTTATTGTCATTCTTTTATTTTATATTGGTTTACATACAAAGTTCATAAAGTTCATTTATATTGTTTTTCACACTGGAAATTTCCTCTTTCCTTTACCTATCCCTCCCTCCACCCATCAAATTATGTGACCACATGATTAAGCCCTCTCCCCCTCATACTTGTTCTATATTAATGGTCTTATACAGTATTTGCCTTTACGGGACAGAGTTAGTCCACGCAGTATAATGCTCTCCAGTCACTCCTATGTTGGGTTTTAATTTACAAATTCACTGCTCCTGCATGGTTTGTAGTATTCAATTTTGTAAATGTCCCATAATTTCTCAAGCCATTCCATTATCATTGGACTGTTACCATGTTCTTGCTATGGTGAATAATTCTGCTATGAACATTGTTGTATAAGTCTACATTTGTGCCTCACTTCTCACTTTCTCAAGGTGAAGGACCCCCG